TCATGAGCCTTCGTAGACAAGATGGCAGTGCAAGATGGCGGCTGCCTGTGTGGCGACCCGCGACCATGGAGATATAAACAGTTTTTTTTTAAGGTAAAAATAATAAAACAAGGTCTTAGTCTGCAATGATTAGACATGTTTTTTATTATTGTCATCAGTGATTATCTCAATTTTGGCTAAAAGAATTGACAAAATCCTACACACTGTGCCTTTAAAGGAGATGTTAACTTTTACCAAAGTAATTTTATGGTAAGATACTTGTACTTTTACTCAAATATCACGTTGATGTACTTTATACAACACTGAACAAAATAAACAAATTTAAAATGTGAAATATAATACCTATATTTCCTGAGATGTTGGCAGTTAGTAACTGTGGCCCTTGAGCAACTTAGTTGAATAACCTTGTATCAGTGTCTGAAAATAAGTTGTAGGGCAAGCATTGACCATAAACTACATCTCTCATAACGCTTGTCAATTATTTTACCAGAGAAAATGACTGCATCCTACCACTGGTAAAACTGCACAATGTTCAAAAGTTGCCAGTAACCAGTAGCTGATGAAATTCACTGTGTAACATCTACAGTACATTCAGCTGCATTTTGTGCTGGTTATTTTTGCTATGGCTTAGTTGTACTGGGATGGGGGGATTTCCCACTTACAAGTCATGAATTTAAATGGGAACGGCCCTCTAGTGGGAATTCCCTGTCAGAAATTATGAGAGTTCAGAATCCAAGACAGCAGCTACTCATCATAATTCAACAGTGAGTACACTCACTATTACTATTCATAGATGTTCTGTTTTATTTATTTATTTATTTATTTATTTCACATTTAGTATAGGCAGTACTTCAATCCTGTTTCTATGCATGAAATATCATGTAGAGTTCCGTTCTTGTTTGTTAGCGGTTCTCAGCCATAACTAACAATGAAATGTAAAACACGGTTTTTCATGCCGTCTAAGTTAACCACGAAACATGGAAGTTAATTACAACTGGCCCTTTGAAGGCCACCATGTGTCCCTCTGTGAAAATGACTTTGGCACCCAAGGAGTAGACGATGCTTTAGATTATTTTTTTTACTATGTATTTACGTAATATTGAATGTAAGTGTTACTAGCAGTCCTTCTGAATGAAGCCTTTTTACTTCAAGTATTGTTCTGTTTTCGTCAACACACACAACTCTAAAACACCCAAGCTACAAGGAAATCAAAATACAATGAAATAAACTTTTTATAAGCTTTGTCTACTTTTCAAGGCTGAAATGATAAAAAAAAAAAAATCAATTAAAAATGTTTGCATATTTAAAAAGTAATTCCCCAATTCCTCTTAGTTTTTTCCTCCATCTATTTCATTTTTTTATAACACTGATAGAGTCCTCCCAGTTAATTTACCACAGTTTAAAAAATTGAACAGATCATGCTGCAGCAAGACAGACTCAGAAACTAATGCCATGTTGTTGAATTAGGGACACTAAGTGGGCATTACATTAGATTGGCTGTTGCATCATATTTTCTGAAAAACTCCATATCTACAGCCTACATAGAGGCACCTAAAACTGGATGGAAAAAATCCCATCTTTTTTTTAAACATTTGAATTTTTTTCACGAAAATAGTATTATTGTTTATTCTGCAGTAGAATACACGGCACCATAAGAATTGCATATTACAATCTGTTTGTACACACAGAAATAATAAATAAATAAATAATAAAACAATAAGCCTATGTAAACCGTTGGATACACTCTAAAAAATCCTCTTTTAAAGAAACTGACATGGGTCACACTTAGCTCATGAAGCTGCAAACTCCTACATTTGCAGCAGTTCTGCTGTTTTGACTTGGCAGACAGGAAATAAAAACTGGCAAAATCC